ATCCAATCAATATCAAGATATTATATGTATAGTTTACAACATGAGCGGCCGTGTTGTATGGGAATTACAATCTCGAGCCGCAGGCGAGAGATTGTAATTCCCATACAACACGGACGCGAATGTTGTAAACGACTTATAAAACTCCAACACAAATTAACATGAATTACAGTGAGATAAATGACGAAAAATGACAAATAAGGTAACTGCTGAGTTTAGTCCCTATTAAGCATGCGCAATTTACTGCAACACAGAACATTTTGAATAATTATCCATCCCACATGGAAAGCAAGCCATCTGTTGCATAAGCGAGTTCTGTTATCCGTCTTTGATTGCTTCAAAACCTAGTGAAGGTCTATGATGMGACACTAAAACTGAGACATTTGCTAGTGTTGGGTTGTCTCAATGGTGACGACCGTGTTGTAAATCTGATACAACACTAGTGGTTGTATCAGATTTACAAGGTCAATCACCTGATTAAATGGTAAGCCCTTATTGGAGCAATAGCTTATGCATTATTAATAAGTTTTATAAATAAGTTTAATGACTTCGCATCGCATTCTTATCAATCRCTTCTCAATTAACATGTCAGTCATTTTCTGGCAAAAAGGTGTATGGARGCAATTTTTAAGTTATTTTGGCCCTTTACACAGTGTTGAATATTCCTTTTTATCCTGTGACGACAAGTGCGTCGTGTAGTAGTCAGGTGCATCATGGGAGATGTGGCCACACTATTCTGTGTACACAAAGAATCCCTCCCCCCTCCACAAAAACAACAACAACAACAACAGAACAAAACAAAACAAACAATAAAACAAACAACAAACAAACATCGTCCAAAAAACAACATCAAGAAAACAAAAAGAATCAGAAACAACAAGAAAAAACAGCATCAGCAAAAACATCAATTAGAATACCAACAACATCACCATCATCATACCAACAACATCACCATCATCAACTAAAGCACCAACACCAACACCAACACCAACACCAACACCAACACCAACATCAACAAACAACAGTAAGCCTTTACCACTTACAACTTAATAGTCTTTTTTTTTGTTTAGTTGTCAGGCGTTGCTATGATAGTAGTCGGTGTGTGGACTCTTTATTATGAGGAAGAATACCATCTGTTCCTAGAAAGCGCTAGATATCTTATAATTGTTGGATTGATGATTGGCATTGGAGGCGTGGTAGTACTTGTGTGTGTTTGCGGTTGCTATGGAACGTATAAAGAGCACCGTTACATGCTGCTAACGGTRAGGATATATTTTATTAAAAAAGAAGATTTGTTTACTTGCAACTTCACTTCTCTCTAACTAAGTGCAAGCCTGAAATTTTTGAAAGCACAAAATAAGGGAGGAATGAATGATCAGTGAAGAAAATTGTTTTAGGCTTTATGAAGTGCTTTAACTGTTAATTGGTAAAATTGCAAAGATTGTAGGCGTAATTTTGACAAGAATTTATTTTCAAAATCGTCCAACGCTCCGACGTGCTAGTGAAAAGTGCGAAAGATGGAACCGAGCCTTAGACAAAAGACCGATTCGAAATAATCATTTTTTTCGACATTTTTCCCCATTGCATGCCACTATACAATGTTTCCATTGAAAATACTAATATTTTATGATTAATTGCGTTTTTATTCTTCTTTTTCTTTTATTAGTTCTTGATTATGCTGTCAATCATATTTATAATACAGCTTTCTGTTGGCATCGTAGCTTTTGTTCATAGATCAGAGGTATGTCCAAATATCATCAACCATATCATCAAGCTATAGTCAAAAAAAACTGTAAAACCTGGTAACTGACCAAGCAAACTTCCTCACAACACTACAAAAACATCAATCGGCCCACAGTCAGATCAATATATCTAACAGTCAGACCAACCTTTTCATATCTCACTAATTTAATACACTATACGCACAAGACGCTCTTAAAGAGTGAAGTCGGGCTAGCTAGCTGTTTTCGAAAATTGAGAAAGACAGGACATTAGATGCGTG